TATAAAATAATAGAACAATGAAATATATATAACACTAAATTAATAGTGTCCTGCTGTAACTGCTAACTTTGGATTAAAAAAAAATTATAAGTTATAAATTAAAATTGTGTCACTATAACGTAATCACTTATAACGGGAATTTCTAAAGTAAACCGGATAATGAATGTCTATTTAAAGTACTTAAAAATAGGTATAATTATAAAATTACCCTACCATCAGGGAACAGAAAAACGACAACGACGAGCGGCGTTTGTATATTATTTGATCTCTCGTATTTTGTGCATTTGCTCTCAGAAATAAAATATGTGTCTACACAGGAGTAGCATATTTTTCATGAAATAAAATTTTTATTTGAAGTATAAAAAATAAATGTAAGCACCAAAAATATATGAAACCAAAATTAATTACTTTAAACATCGACGCTTTCGGGCTTCGGTGAAATTCCTGATATTGCATGTGCATTGAGGAATAAATCAGATATACGACTGAACTTAAGTCTGAAAATATTGAAATTTATTTTGAAAAAAAAAAACCGTACGGATCGCTTCATGTTTCTTGTTCATGTCTGCAGCTTTGCTAACTGAAATTTTAGATCGATTGCGTCTTTGCGACTACTTTGACAATCGCCACGGATTGCATTATATTTTATACTACGTCAACATCATAAAACCATAGATATTACAAATTTTTATATGAAGGAGGTCCGTGTTTGAGATTTGATCATTAAGATAATGAAATGACTAATGAGGTTAACAATAACCAAAATAGTTTATAATTTTAAAATTTAAATTACAACAATATATAAATGATTACCTATTATTTTAATTTTTAATTTTTTTTTTTTTTATTTAAGCTTTCGGCAACTGAGGCCATTAACTGTAGGTTGTGTGGTACTGTAGTGTTTGGGACTGTAGGGGGAGGGGCATCTATCATCACTTGTACGTGTGTGTTTTTGTTTTGGCAGAATTTCTATTGGGCACCCGTTTGTTTCTGCCATGCCCGGTTGGGGGATGGCGGCACTTGTTCTCCGGTCACCGCGACTTGTCCGGAGAAAAATGCCTCCCGGTGGCCGAGGATCGAACCGTAACCGGCTGCGTCGCAGCGGACTCGTCAGACCACTCGGTCACCTCGTCCCCCTAATTTTTAATTTAATAATTAAGTAAGGTGGTGTTTAAATATTCGAAGCACAAGCATACCTTTTTATGAGTTATTAAAGAAAAATCTTATTGTAAATAAATGTTAAAATGTGATTACTACTTTTTAGATTTAACATAAAGGTATTCTGTGCCCCATGCATCACATTTACAGTATACCGACTATACCAAACTATAGTTTGTAAAATTCCAGGTTAAACCTTTTCTCTGAATACTGTCGAGCACGAAATTTATAATTAATATTTTATGTATTAATTTTGAGTGCATTGGTTACGTATATTGTAAGAATATTTAAAATTTAAAATGTCCTTATTTAATTTCCGATAGATATTCAATAATCAGCAGAGCGACTTTCCCAGCTTTATAAAATAATTTGATGTTTTATGTACGACGGCGTCACTTTAATTCGCGGTTAGACCACAAGCAGACGACATAGTAATATTCATTTATAATACTCATCATTTATATAAACTAAAAATAAAAATTGTTGAATTTTGCGGGACATAAGAACTCCCGTGTACTGTACTACTGTAATAAGACTAGTATGTACAACACTATTTATATCTATATTTAATTGTATAAATATGTTATTATTCTGCGACCTGGACATGCCGTCGTCGTTTGTGCTAGCGTATTTTTTTGTGTTGCACGCTCGGAAACAAAAAATATGCCCCTACTTCACCCGGGTAGCTAATTGTCTGTGACGATAAATTTTAATTTTGAGACTAAAAAGTAAAATGTGTAAGCCCCAAAAGAATAGGTAATCAAACTTACGTATAGGTACATCGACTCTTCGGGTAATGTATAGCTGCAAGGCCATATCTTGAGTGCAGACGCCATATCAAGGAACTTCTTTCTTCATCAAAATCCGAACTGAAAAAATCGAGATTTTTTTATAAAAATTACTTGAGTAGAAAGAAATATGTGAGTAAATGTCTATTGTTGCCTTACACATTAATTCTCTTGTGTTCAATGAAATTATTAGAATTGTGAATCGTCTCCGATGAGTGACGACGATCAGCTTTTGCCATAGATGATAGATATTATAATATAATATAATATGTTGTTATCAGTTTTCGAGTTTTTGAATTCTTTTGATGACACGATACATTTTTTATTTTAGATTCCGAAACAGAATATTATTTGGAGTGTTTAAATCTATATAATTCAGAACACAGAACTCTGCGTATAGGTCATTTAGATATACCTACTACTGTCGCGAATCCATTTTTTTGTCCGGCATCTCACAACATTGTTTTTAGTCTTAACTATTAAACTAGGTATAACTTAATATAAAACTCTAGAAGTGCTGAGATATGAAAAAAATTCAAAATTAGGCTTTGAAATTTACAGAAGTAATAAAAAAATGGATACTTTAATCGTGAATACAATATTCTCTCTGGGCTCGGCATTAATATGTTTCAAACAATATTATTCTATAATAGTGCGCAGGTTAGGTAAAAATTTGTGTGATTATATTATACTACTACACTATAGTGTAATAAATAATGTAATATATATACAGCCGTGTGGGTACCTAACTAAGGCTCTCACATAAAGGCAAGTGACGGAGGAAAAACCCTTATGACCAAGGTTCAGTACTTATAGCATTTGCATACTTTTTTTTATTTATTGTAAAATGTAGCAGAGTGCGAAATAAATTCATACCAAATCTAAAATTTGAATGTGCATATTTTGCATAGTTCATACATTTTGCCGGAAACCGCTTATTTTTACGTTATTGTGCTTAATTTGCATATTTTGGAAAATTTTTAGAAATTTCACACCATCTAAAAAAGATAATAGTAATGCAGCTTACTCGCAGTCTTATGTACCTATTTGCTATATACAACTCACAACTCCTTATAATTTTCGTTGTTTGAAAGTGTGCCATCCGCCGTTGAAAAACGACTGTGTTTCAACTGTGCTACTACTACTAAAACTATACCAAGTCCAATAATAATTTTAAAATCATCATTCAGCAATGACTTGGAGTTTAGTTTGAAAGAATACAGAAAAGTAAGAAAACTAAATGCACAGAACTAAACTGTTTGAGATTTTTAAAAGTAACGAGAATTCTAGTAAATCATTTATATATTGAAACAGATTAAATTACTGAATATCAAGAGTACTCATTGGCTGACTTGCAGTGTAGTCTGGCAATTGACAATAAAAGGTATTGTATATAATTATTTCAAAATAATATATTATTTAATTAATTGTTTTAAATAATTTTTAGATATATATTATCTGGAGTATTTTTTTATAGACATGATCATTATATAGTGTATGTAAGCCGTGTAAATAGATGGGAAGTGCACAAAAATTTGGCAAAAAAAATTCAAAGTACCCCTAGTTCAACAAAAATAAAACCACATGTTATTATGTATGTGAAAGAGTAAAAAAAAAGACATGTACATGGGTACAAAAGTCAACTATAGCAATAAGAGATGTCTTTTTTTTTTAATTAAATAAAAAGACAAAAAGGTTATATTTTATTATTTTTACATTTATATTAAGCGTTTGTTACAAGATAATTAAAAGTAATAAGAATCAATAATTAATTAAATCAATTTTAATTTTTTCAATTTTCCTTTTACCAAGCTCTTATTTGATGGCCATGAGCTTATAATATCCAATAACCCATGTTATGTTCCTACAAATATAGAGTAAAAAGAATTAATAAATACATTTAAAAAAATAAATTATTAATTTATGTTTATTGTAATATTACCATGTATTAAGACTATAAGGGTAAGAAACAATTATTCTATATTAAACTTATATTAAATAGTAGCCCGATATATAGTGTAAAATACTTCTGTAAGTAGTATATTTCAATTGTGTATCACATAATATAATTTTTAATTATATTATAAACTATACCTACATATAAACACCAATAATTGGTATGATTTTTGGACTCGAAATTATAAATAAGTTAGCGGCTATTTGCAAAATGTTAGCAGCATATTTCGATTTGTAGCTCAAAAGGGGGTGTAGCATGAAGTTGCCTCGCATCTTATATTTTTCATACCGTGTGGGTAATTTATTCGCAAATTCTGAAAACCAATTTGCAAATTATTGGTAGTATTTTGAAACCGCTTGCTACATATTATTTGGGAGGGGGGCTGCATGAAGTTCACCTTCTCCCCCATCTTATTTTTTTTTATACCGTGTGGGGAATTGATTTGCAAACATTACAGTGTTAAATTTTTTCAAACAAAAAAATTCATCTGAAAATGTCATTGTATGTACAAAATATACATGAATATTTTTTTAAATTATTTAATCACAAGAATACAGTGCACAGTTCAAATAATATTAAAATGTTAACCAACATAACATGATTTTAAATTAATAAAATTGTTTGCAAAATGATAACATAACTTTCAAAAAAATTGGTCATGATGGAGCGGCCAACTTCACGCACATGGGAGGCCATACTACAGCATAGTGGTTGAGACGACAACAATTATCCACCGCCTGGATTTGTTCATAACTACACTACGTTATTTGTCTAACGCCTAAACGTACGGGACACCTACTCAGAAGATTCCATATGCTTCAATTTGAGCATTCAAGCACTTTGTATTCAGCAGCGAATACAGCATTAAACATTGTTTAACCGATGAAATCCGTAGGATCTGGCCATTATTATTATTGCATATAGTTACAAAATAGATGTAAATATCATGTTATTGAATGCAAATACATAGCATTTTCTGTTGTTGTAAAAAACTAAAATATATTATAAATATTTTATTTATTTTACATAAAAATATGTAAATATTACATAAGATCATCACCATATTATGAAAAATGAATTGTTATGATTTTTTTAAACGAAATGGTGCATGAATAAGATGATTGCCGATTCTGGTCTCAATGTCGGTTGTACTGGTATCTTTAAAATCGTGTACGCGTTGAACTGCATCTGATAACAATCAATGAAAAAAAATGTATTCATGTAACACTTAAACTTTTCAAATATTATTTATGTATGTTAGTGTATCAAAATCAAAATTTGAACTTGTAGTTCACTAGAAACATTGGACAAACAGACAAACAAATTATGTTTAGATTAAATACAAAAAATAGTGCCTTGAATGTTTGGCAAGTAAAATACATTGAAGAACAGATTACAAGAGTTATATATAGTTATAGTGAGGACAAAAGCTATTGTCTTCTAGAAGATGGACAAATTAAAATGAGTTATTTTCAAACATATTATTATATATATATTGATATGTAAGCTGCAAGCCATACGGTGAACATAACAATTTCCAAAACAAACCCTTTTTTTTTCAATGAGCTACCCCAATTTGCAATTTATTATTTTTTGGCCTAAACTAAAAGCCAATTTTTAGGCATATTGTTTAAAAATTAACTGCAGCTTTCAGAAACTACCAAACAATAATTATGGGTTCATATAAACAATCACCAAATATTTAATGAAACATTATAGTGAGCTCATATAACTAGTATTATATAATTATAAGTTATTTATAAAAATTTAGTATACTAACCATGAATTATACTGCATATTGAGAGGCTGGAAAATTTCTTTTTTTTTTGTTCCTGCCAAAGTAGGAGTAATTTTGAAGTAGTTCATCTTTGAATAGTTTGTTTAAAATTCTTGCTGTATAATTTTTACTTTCGATCCTCCAGACAAGGATAATTCTTTTACCTGAGAAATATATTAGAAGCTATTGTTAATGAATTTACCAAATAATACAAAAGAAGTGCTTACTAACCAATTTTTTTCTACAAGTTGCAGTACTTTGAATTTGATTTTCAATGTTTATTAGATCATTCTCACTTTCTAAAGGAAATAAACAGTCTAAATTGGAGAAGTCTTCTTTTTCGATATCCAAGTGATTATCCTTAAACTCAGTTATTTTCTTTAATTGTTTATTGATGGATTTCTATTCAATTTTCATGACAACTTGATTGGCCAAAAGTTTTCTCAAACAAACATCTAAGTATGAATAATAATCAAATGAAATAAAAATGTATAAATATACTTCTTGGTTATTACTTATTTCTAGGCATTAATAATCATTAATAAAATGTATTAACACATATATGTATAAGCACGCTTGATGTATTATATATTTTTATGTATAAAAAACTATATATGTATACAAAAAATAGCTTAAAGTTATATGTATATTATGCTTATGTAATAACGTTTTACACTTTGATAATTTATTATCATAATAAAACATAATACTTTTTGTACTATTTATCTTAACTTTTCAATCACTTTTTTTCATTTTTAATTGTCTCTATTAAAAGCTATAACTTAAAAAGGATATTTGCTTTTTGTTTCACGTTATTGTATAAGATTTAGTTTTTAAAATACCAATAAAATAAATGTATATAATATATACATAATATTATGTGGTTATCAATATAATGATCAATTTATAAATTTACCAGGTGGTAGACTATTCAGCATTTGTTGAGAAGAAAATCGTTTTTTGGGAGAGTTAAAAGCTACAGTGTGTTGATTTTTCAGAGAGAGTAGTTTAGAGTTGGTACGTTTACCACTTTTAAAAATAAATTCTAAATAAAACAAAAATAACAAATTTTATACAAAACTGATAAAGAACTAAATATAACACAGTTGTAATTGTATACCTGGAGAATTTCTGCAGTTATTATAATGCATTGTTTTTAGTCTGTGTTTACTAGCATTTGTATCAATAGTATTGTAATCAAACATATTATCTGGACTTAGTTCATGCCTTTTTTGAGTAAATTAATATTCTGAAAAATTGAATGAAATGATTATTACAGATTGATGTTTTTTGGCTAGGGCTTTATACAACACCTACCACCTTTATCTATCATGTTATGACCATTAATGGTATTGAAAATACTTCTATGACTATATGGAGATCTGTAGGTTGGTTTTCCTTTTTTTCGAAGAATTCAAAACGGTCTTATTGCTGCTTTTCTGGGATAAATACTCTAGACATTAAAATAAAGATTATTATTAGATCATTTTGTATTGTTTGAATTTAATATGTGCCACTCACCATCACCGTTAGATATCACGTTATGATCATCATCGATATTGAAAATACTATGATTATATGGAGATCTATGGGTCGGTTTTACTTTTTTAGGAGAATTAAATTGAGTCTGTTCACTGCTCTTCTGATATAAATACTTTAGAAATAAAAATACAAATAATTATTAGATTATTCTGTATTTATTGAATGTATACAACACCTACTGTCATTGGTTATCATGTTGTGACTATCAGGAACATTTTTGGGATTATATGGAGACTGGTAAATAACTGGCATTTTTATTTCGGGCGAACGTGGTTCTATGTTTGTGGTTTTTTGAGATGGATTATCTAAACATTTTTATAAATTATATTTTAAATAAACTAATCAAAATTATTTATATATAAAATCAATGAGTCAGCCTCTCTCACTTAATGGCAAAGCTTTATTTTCTATACTTCAGATTTACTGATGTTATCTATTCCAGTTTAATAATAGTTTAAATACTATTACTAATTATAACAAGGGGCAATTACTATTATAGAGAATAACTAAAAAATATAATTTTTAATAGGTACCTAGGGTATGATTTGTTTGATTACACAGTTGGTGTACTAATTATTATAGTTCTTTATATATAATAAGTATGGTATCCAAAAATTGTAGAAGTATTAAATGCGTATTATTATTCACAAAATTGTATGGTTTAAACTATAATTAATAAAAAATAATTTGAAGATTAAAATGAATTCTCTTTACATAAAATATGTAATATGGTTTAATATTGTAATTATAATTTTTTAATTCTGCTATAAATACAGAGGGGGTAAATAGTTGTCCCGTGCTAAACAGTTTTTACTATGTTGCAAATTTGTGAGACGGAGACAATGCATGCGGATATGGCGTCCTCTTAAACATTATTAAATTAACCTGAATACTTATAAACCCTTCATATAATATTTTATTTATTTCATCTTAGAAATAAAAAAGTTAATATAAATGGATCATTTAAAAAAACCATAACACGCTAATCGATATTTTTCCTCTACAAGGAAAATTTATTAATCATAAATATATTTTTGTTAGGTAATAATATTTATCATGACCACAAAAATCTTACAAAAAATCGATCAGAAAAAAAATCTTGTATCCCTTACAAAAACATAATATATATTATGCCAAATTAAAAAAAATACAAAAATATAAACTGTCTACAACTCATAAGAATAATAACACATAACTTTTTATGAGTATTTTTGTAATCCATTTTAATTTTAGAATACTTATACTGGGTTGCATGAACAATCACTAAACATTTAACGAATCAATAGTGAGCTAATGGTCCCTTAAACATGGTTTAGAAGCCCATGATTGGTCTATTCAATTTTATTGGTAGTTTAAATTAATAATTTTTTATGTAACCCGGCCTCAAGGTTGCATAATTATATAAATTACTTTGGGTTTCAGTTCTTCACAAAAAATTAGCATAATATACATTTATTTAAACAACTATACTCAAAAGTTAGGTAAAAATACCATTCTAAGTTGTAATAAGGCAAATAGATAAATATAAGGAACCACTATCGTAACTTTAATTATTCTTTAAGCCTTAAGGGTAGGTATATTACTCGATATACCTAGATTTTAAAAATGTATAGTAATGAATAAATATATAAGTATCAAAATGTTTTGTTATATATTTCAGTTTTTCACTATCAGTCATTATTGATACCTATGCAGTAAACAAAACTAACCTGAATCTTCTGAATTCATTAGAACAGGGAAATCATCAATATCAGGTGTTTTAAACAATTGTTTTCTTGCCGATTTTACAGGAGATTTTTTCTAGGCATCAAATATTTTTCTAGCACAGCGTTTTTTCCTGTTTTTCTTAGCACATTCTTCGTCAGTTTCAGTATTTATGTCAGTCCTAGTTTCAACTCTTCTCAATCTTTCTTTACATTTTTTGTAAATCATCTAAAACATTTTTAAATACATTTTTGTTACTGTCAAACCAATTATGATGTCTTTATCTTACTAATAATACTTACCAGCAGAAGAAATAATATTTAAGAAACTATATTTTTCCCAGTCATCATTGGTCACAGGTCTTATCAATGTTTTCAACTGCATCTAATAACTCATGAAAAATTCTTCCTCGATAAAGGATTAAGTGGTTATGATTTTGAAAGTTATCAATATCAGGAAAACTATTTGTAGGTACATTTTCAACAGTTGTAATGACATGAACTGAGGGAGACCTTGAATTCTCCGTAGTACTAGTAATTATTTTATTGCTGGTGTTACTTGGTAAATACAATTCACTTTCGGATGTGACAGTAGCAGGTGCATTCAAATTATAATTATGATTCTGTGGTTCATGGTGTATTGTAGCGCCACGTGTTTGAAACCAAGATATAAGTACCTCATCATCATATTCATCATCAATCAATGGTGGTGTAGTGGAAGCCAAGTAATTAGATTCATCATTTTTAGGTGGATATTCATCTAAACTATTTGTTATTGTTGAAAGGTTTTCACGATCAATAGTTTAATTTGGAGCAATGCAATTAGAATCAGTGTTATCACAACATTCAGATGTATACTTCCTTTTTGTTGCTAAGTAAAACCTTAATGATTTTAATCCTGTTAATGTAAAAATGTTATGAAAATCTGTTTCATATGTTACCTAATATATTTTTCAAATATAATATTATTTACTTGTATTTTGTATCAGTTCTGAAATAGTTATACCTTCCATAAATGGAATTTATTGAAAATCAAATAAATCCGTTTGAAAATCACATATTGAACCTTTAGTTGACTGACCGTTGGGAAAAAATATTTTTATTGCAGCATCCATAATTTCTGTTTTATTACATTCCTTAAGCATTTTTATATTTCTGGTACCTCCTCCCTCTTTTTTACGAACCTAAAACATAAGAAATGGTTAAAAATTAATTCAATTTTGTCAGATTTTAAGTAAATAAAAAAAGCTATATTGTAATATTATGTTGAAATTATTAAACTAAACTTTTCTCACAAATCCATTTATACAAGGTCTAATAGGAAGACCTGACAAAATGATATAACCTTTGTACTAATCAATGTATTTTTTTTAAATATCTGTAGTCTGTACTTTATCCTAGTGTTACACGTATAGTGCAATATTTTTTAATTTTATTTTTTATTACCTAACAAAAATAATAATTTGAATCTGGTTTTTAGAGAAATGTCAATTGTAAAAAGAATATATATTATAATCTTAAGTCATTTACCTAAATTTTACAATTATTTGAAATCTCATTATTTTTGTTACCTAAGTTAAGTTGATCAAATTTTAAAACACATTTTAAATTCAATAAGTACCTATACATATTTTAAAAATATTTTAAGAGAATTTTTAAATAGGTGCTTGATGAAAAAATCAAATATTTTTTCAACATTGACATTTTAAAAAATCATAAAAAAAAACCACTTAACCTTAATAAATGTTTTAACAATTAATTTTTCTAAAAACCAGATTTAGAAATTGAATATTTTGAAATGTTCAGTATTAAAAAAGTCCTTAAGAAAGTATAGAATGTATCATCTATAATGTAAATAATATATTCCAATATATCTAATTGATCTGGGCAGTTAATTAATAATAATATAAAATTAAAGACTACTTTAAATGTAGGAAGATCAACACAATATACTCTTGCGCCCAACTGCACTTACTTGTCTATATCTGCACAAATTTCAATCAAAATGCATCCAACCAATTTCAATACACTTCACCGTTTTTATTGCATGAGTTTTATTTTCTAGATGAAGTCTGTAAATAGTTAAACATAATAGATATATATACCTAAGTTATGATACAAATGTCAGGTTTTTTAATAAAAAACAATTAGTAGTTAGATGTTACACTACTCTATATCTCAAGCTTTGTTCAAGTTTAATGTTTGATTCAGTAATTTTGAGTATCTAATTTCAGCTGTAATTATTCACTATCTTTCAAATAATATATTGTTATCAACATTTAATTTAAGAACTCAACACCTCTAATACAAGCAGCGACTTCTAGGTGTGTAAACATTTCATGTACCCACTTAGAATTTGTAGATATTTTAGGTTAATTTCAAATTTGCAAATTCGATAAGTTTGAATAAATTAAATTAAATTATGTTAAATAATTTATTCAAGATATTAGAGATGGAATTACAGATAAATTTGTATAATTTTAGTTTATTATTATAATTTATAGCAAACAAAATATTAAATAGGTAATAACTATTTGGCATTGGCATCATTTACTTACTTTTCTTTTTTATTTGCATTGATTTTATTACTTAATTCCTCATATGAATCTGTTTTACGTTTAAGACTGTGAGTTTTTTTAACAAAATCTAAAACTGCCAATCGATCACCATAATGTGGAATTAATTTCAAAAGCATAGTATCATTAATATCCATTAACGTCAGTATACTTTTATCAATCTGAAATATAAAATAATGTTCCTGATAATTTGTATAGTTCAAATAGGTGGGTAGGTATATAATATCCACAATAATTAATTAGGTAATGCTATTGCTAACATTCATATTAATAAAATAAAATAAATGTATATTGGTACCTTTTCATTTTGAAACTCTTCAATAATATATTCGGCTGCACCTCGCCTTCTCAAAAATTCTATTAAATATTTAAATCGTCCTCCATTATCATTTGTGTTTTTGCAGTGTTACTATTTAATAAGTATTTTTTTCATAATTCATAATATGTACATAACTATAATATGAAATATGAATATGAATTGAATGTTATATATTTATAACTTTAATAACATGATGTTATCATCGAATGCAGACTGCGGTCATCGGGCAGCATGATTTCCAAACCTATTAGAGTTGTGAGTACAGTGGATCTGATTGGTCCATATTTTTATGGCGGTAAATTCAAAACTATAAAATCAAATAACATTGTATAAATGTGTATTATTATTATGTATTTTGTGATATAATTCAATAATATTAAATATTATATCATATTATATTGATTACAAATATATGCATAATATATATATATATATAAAATGCAAAAAATGTAAATAAATAAATAATGTTGATTTTGATTTAAATTCCACATGAAACATTTTTTTAAATTGTGTAATACTTACAAAGCTATGTTTCACAATCACCAGAAAAAAAATGCACTTGCCTACAAACTCACAGCCCTAATTATAATATTTATTTTATTTATAATATTTAGATATTAAAAAAGCATAATAGGTGATTAGGTACTGATTATTATAAAAAAAAATGTGGTAGGTACTCATTTTCCTTTGTACTCTTCTATCCACCTATATTTTAGATTCCTTCACCTCACTATTCTTTATTCAGTAATCTTGTATCTTAACATTTAATAAGCGTTTAATTTTTTTTTTCTAGTTGTAGCCTGGTATATTTATTGCAAGTTGTTTACCATATTTAATTGTATATTATATTATTAAGAAGTAAATGTAAACACATAATATTTATTCATTATAATACAGTTTATTAGTAATTTCAAACTTCAAAAGTATTTACATTTAA